TATGGTCATAAAATAAAACTTAATTTTTGTTTTAAACACATAAAATAGCAAAATAAAATTTTTTACTTACGCGGTGCAGTCAACAAGCCCTCCCCAAGCCACGGTTTAGCAAAATTATATAAGAAGCCTTTCTCTAAACACGAGTTCGCAACAGTCATAAAATCGTCAGGATCTGTTAATACTGTAACAGCGATAAAAAAATAGCTCATTAAAAATTGTACTGGTCTTCACATTAACACACGAGGCTATTGTTACGTGTATCATGGTGAAGAAAAATATTGCTAGGAAACCAGCATGTTTGAGAAATTAAAAAAATCAAGTGCAGTAAAATGGTTTTACTTGGTGGAATTACAGTAGAGTCTGAAAGTGGATGGAAAACCGGTACTTCATGTACCGGTTTTCCACCTACCTTCCTCCTGTTCAGTTCCTGTTTATGGGGGGTAGAGCCACGCTGCAGCTATATTATTGGTTGTAGCACAAATAGGTCTGTTTGACCGGAGAAGGTCCACGCTTTCACAGAATGCCAGCGTAAAATAGCAGCTTAATGCTGCTGTGCTATGGTGAGTTTAGATAACCGGAGACCCGTTTTACTGGAATCAAGGCATTCCATGGTAGTCCTCAGGGGGGACAACGCATCTACATTTTGATCCTTGATCGAGGTTAAATGTAAGATGTCTATGGACCATAGCATCGACTTACCATCAGGTGAACTGTATGCTCGTTTGTCACCCTTAGTCTATGTGAAAAAAAGTTCCGCCCTCAATGATGGCGCTACACTGAAAGTGTGGCCTCTCGACAGTGTGCGGTGGTTTAGTTCTTCAGGAAATACGACTATGTTCTATTGTAGAAGTACACACCGATATTCCTTCTCAGCCGTTCATATTGTTGTTTTCGATTTTCGAACTGTGAATCGTCTCGCATGCAGCCTCTTTCTCTTTTTAGTAAACTTTTTTACGCAGTCATTTTTATATTTTTTTTAAATAATAAAATACTAAATTAAATACACAAGCCTACTGGCTTGTGTATATTTTATTTACTTTGTACTGTGTTTTCTGTTTTATAACGTAAATTTTAACTAGAAAATATTATTTATTAAATTAACTACAGAGTGAAGCAGTGTTGTTAATTTTAATCTATACCACGTTTAGCTGTGTAAATAAACATGATATTTAATTCTTTTTTCATATTTTTGCGGTATAATTTTAAGCATACAACGATCGACGATCGACGATCTGAGATAATCTACCTTATGCGATAACTTCCAGCAAATTTTTTTGGTTAAGGAGATAATTTTTACTAATAGAAGTATATCCAAAATAACATTAAGCAATATAAAGACTGTTTAGAGCACAAATATTAATTAAATAACCACAAATTTACTGGGAAATTATATTTAAAGTCAACAAATAAAATTGAATTTAACAGAAATTAAATCATTATTTTTTAATGTTTTTAAATAAATCAATACTTGATAAATTAGTAAAATATGTAAAAAAGGCCTTATGAATACTGGAATTGAATTTTTCTCTCTAGAAGTATGCTTACCATAAAATTTAAAAGGACCCATTAGTAATGTTGAAATGCCTCCAGCTTTACAGCATTTATACGATATGATTTTAACACTTTTCCATAATCCTAAAAAGGAAATATATTATTAGACTGCAGGCTTACTCTTAAAATGTATTCACTTAGTTTCGGTTCTGTTTATAAAAGCTTTCTTCCGAATCAAATATTAGTGTCGACAAACGAAAAAACATGCGTTATTAGTGTCGTTAGGCACATCCAGATAATTTTTAAATTATAAATCTAGTTTCTAAATATTTTTATCACATAAATACATTTAATACAAATAAAACGTTACGTGGCTCAATATTTTAAGCAATAACGCAATGAACGTAAGTCGCGCGTAACGTGTGAGTTTCTTCGATATTTTATGGACTGTATTGATAGATACATACAACAATCGGAGCAGAGGAAAAAGGAATGGTGAGAGCAGCCTCGCCTTCCTCGTTTAGTATCTGCTAACACAGCAGGTCTACTACATGGTTTGGCGTACTTACGTACTAATGGCGTGATCAATTTTAGGATATCACACTCTTCTCAACTCTTGACTTGTTGCAACCGTGGTAAGGTGCGATACATTTGCAAAAGTACAATGACACAATGTCCGGTGATAATGTTATATAAAAGAGGAAGCCAAAGAAAATTACGCCCCTAGTGCGGTCGCGGTTACTATTCGATCTCAACTGATGACTGTGTCGCCTTCAATGTCCGGACGTGCATGTAGGATGATAAGGGAAGTAGGGGTTAAAATTATTCCAAGTATGTTATTAGATTTATAATTAAATTGTTAACTGTTGTTACCAAATGCAAATAAAACGTAGAAGTACAATATTTTAAGCACACTCACACATCAAAAGTCTATTACTGATTAGCCAATAGCTTATTATGTTTTTATTCGACTTGGGACGCACTATCAAAGATGGCATTATTTACCGTTAACTTTTGGTGTCAATTGTCATTCATAATAAAATAAATACCCTTGCAACAATTCCTTAATTGTATAAGTATGAAAATCTCATCAAAAAAAAAACTTTCTAGTAGATTTCCATTAAAACTGCCACCAAGCGGAGGCTAACTGACTTTAATTAAAATTCCAATCAGAAGCACCAGTCGATTTTGCTCCAGTTCCGTTTTCTTAAAATTAGTAACGTAACGTATGTTTTTTTTTAAATTAGTAACAACCGTCTGTTAATAACTGTATTTAGCCATATTGTACTATTAGTTAATTCATAAAAAATGAGCGCAAAGAAGTATAAATAATAATTTTTTATACAGTCGTCGATAATTGGTGTCCGGTGATATTTTAATATCGATGAATTAACTTGCATTATATCTCTATTAATATCGAGTACCCGGTTGACCAAGCTTTGCTCGGTATTTTTCACTCGGTTTTTTTTTTAATTCGTGTGTTTTGGAGATTATATTTAGATACAAATTACATACCGATGAAATACGAATAATATTTTTTGATCGTAGCGACATAATAGAAAAAACTGAACTGGTTATTTGAATAAAAAATCATGAGTGCAATTAGTTTAATTAAAATTTTCGTGTTTTTAAAAAATACTATTAAAAAGCGCTCGAAAAAATAGATTTTCTCAAAAAAGAAAGAACTTGAAAAAAAAATTTATTTAATTTATTATCATCATCATCACGGTAGTTTAGATAATATCACTCACTTTACATAAAAGTAGCAACTGTGTATCAATTGAATTTATTAACTACTAGCATTTTAATTGCGTAAAACTACTTTCTATTAAGTAATGTCATAACAGAGATTATTTGACCTAGGTACAAATAAAGAAATGAGCTTTTAGAATTTTGAGTGTGAATTATACGTCTAGCAACATTTTTCCTAGTGTATAGAGTGGACGTTCCTATATGTTGATATTCAGATTTTACTAATTTTATATGAAAACAAGCCTTACATATATAAGTAAAAGCGATCAACCAATTGAATACACCGAAACTAAACTTATTTGCAGCTGTACTTCGACTGTTAGCCGTAACTTGTAAATATAAACAATAGATACGCACTTATAGAGTATCAAGTTGTTAGTATTATCGAGAATATTAGTATGCCTTCATTCTACGAACTTTTTTACTTCCACTTGTAGATTAGCTCGAAGTTTCTTAATTTATGGATTTATTTGTGTCTTAATAATATAACAAGAATTTAAGAAATACAAAAAATTACTTACGTAAACCACCCCCAATTAGTAGATGTGCATGTCCTAATATAGGAAGACCACCAGCTAGAAGCGGCGGTTCATGTCTAGATTTCGAATATACTTTCAATAAATAAAGTCCACATATAATCAAAATACAAACTATAGATATCATGTTAGCAGAAGATCTAAAACCAAAGATAGTTAAATTAAAAGACACTGTACAAATAAAACTAAATAAATATAGACTTAAATATAAGTACACTATAAATAAATGTCGTTTAGTTTGTGTGATTCCAATTGCCAAGCAGTAGTGACCCACCGCTATGGTTCATAAATCAACTGTATGCTTTTTACTTTCGACAGATTACGACGGAAGTTCCATGAGGTGTTAGTTTCACATAGTAAATAAAGAGTTATTCTATTTAATTCTTTATAAAATTGGATAACTATGATGAACATAAGAGTCATGTCTGAGTGTATACTGTGTATTTTAATAATATTCGGCCTTGAACGAATTAACCACATTCGTAATCATAAGTATTCGGCTTATCAATTTATTCTCAGAGATATTCTCTCTATACACTTTAAATTCCAACAGTTTTTTAAAATGCCTTAAGTATAATATTATGGTGTAGTAAAAGCCTAACACTATCTCAAAAAATATAAAAAATGAGTTGTAATTAGAAACATTAGAAGAAATAAGAGAAAAGAAAATAACACTTTGCGACATTTTGGCAAAATTGACTTTTAAATTATACTACAATATTGAAGAAATGTTCTTTTTACTAATCTTCGGTATTTTTGTAACTAATTTCGTTTTCAAGATAATAATATGTTTGTTTACAAATTGACGTAAAAACCTTATTTTAATTATAATACTAATTTTAAATTACGTAACATCTTTATATATGTTCATTAGTCTTATATATTGTGTTTACTTATTTTAAATGGAAAAATATATTGGTAAATACAACAGTAAAATAGTGAGAAAAAGCTAAAGTAATGATTGTATCAATTACAGGAGACACCACAAAAGAGCAAACATATTTATATATATAAAAGCGCAGTGCAAACCTTTTGGAAGAGAATAGATTAGCAATTGATAATACATATTTATCTTAAAAATTATGTGCAAAAGAAGAGAATAGGAAATTAGAAAGTTCTATTTATAAAATGACCGTAGAAATATTCCAGAATTGATATTTTAAAAACTTTTTCCTGATTTTGCTGATACACGTCATGATTTTTGATAAGTAATGTAAAAAAATAATGATGCGTGCCTTTAAAAGCAGGGCAGCATTAGTCGCATTTTACTGGATGCGAGGCACGTAACACGGTTGGCACATAAAAATGAAATTAATATTTAATCAAAATACCTCATATATAAATAACTTGTAGAAAACCTATGTTCTACACAAGTTACAAATTACAAATTTATAAAATTAATATTTGAAGTACGTAGTACAAAATTAAATGCTTTATGAAACAACTTACTGGTTTAAAGTTTTCTCGGATGTAACTAATAACACAAGTGATGTTTATTTTTCTTTTGCCGCATTATATACACACCAACTTGTTGCTTGTAGAAGGAAAAAAAAGTTTGGATTTTTAATTATCAATGGTTTAATTATCCTACCACTACCATTACGTTACATATTTAATTTCATATTTATATTACTGTAGCATTTAATGAAAAGATGACGTAAAACGTTACGCACGAGTTATAATGGGTCAAGCGTAAAATAAGAATAATTCTTTAAAATTAATAATTTTCTCATTTGTTACTATTCAGGGCAACGTTTTGTTTTTTTTTTTTTTTTACTATTAAAGGATGTGAATTTCTGACAAATTTACTTTGTAGTTTGTTTTACAATTTGTTTGTGTACTCATAACTTATCGCGGTAAAAGTAGCTTGGTGTTCATTGAAATTTCTTAACCCTGCCCAATCCCGTCTGAGAATAAAAATATTTTTTGCTAGAGAGTAAAATATGGTATTTCACTTCATTTCTTAACCATAACATATTTATTTTAATGAGGGTGAGAATGTACAATATGGTTATGTACTTATTTGCCAAAGATTCAAATCTATCCTTGTTATAGTTGAAAAATTCTACAGGAATTTGTCGCAGTAAGCTAAAAAGATCCGCTCGTTTACCACAAACCAAGTTGAATATTATGGTATAGTAAAGCCTAACACCATCTCAAATAATAGAAAAAATGAGTTGTAATGAGAAACATAGTGAAATTAATAGAAAAAACAATACTTTTCGACATTTTGGCAAAATTGACTTTTAAATAATACTAAAATATTGAAGAAATGTTCTATTCACTAATCTTTTCGGTATTTTTGTAACTAATTTCGTTTTCGAGATAATAATATGTTTACAAATTAACGTAAAAACCTTATTTTAATTATAATACTAATTTTGAATTACAATTTGGATATTAGTATATATACAACAGTAAAATAGTGAGAAAAGCCTTAAATAATGTTTGTATTAATTTGTCGCGTTTTATAGAAATTTAAATTGTACGACTCTAAAAAATAGTGCCTTTATCCAAACATACTCGTACTTTATTTAAGTTAAAAATATTAATAAAAATATTTTATTGAATAATATTAACATAGCCACTAAATGCTAACGGCGAAGTTATATGGCGGTATATACATACGACCACCAGAATTTAAACCTTTCTATGCTTATTAAGCACGTAGGTTATCGAGAAATAAAAATAATTTTCAATGTGATGAAATAATAACAAAATATCAATTTAAATTTAATTAGAAAGGTGTTCATAAAGAACTACCAAAATCGGAAAATAATTCTTCCTTGACTCTTCTGACAGTGATAGGATGATAGAGGATGGATGCAGAAATTTCTTTATGTAGACTAAAATGAAGAATCTTCAGGGAGCACAGAATTTTCTATATAAAGTGGATGTGAGACGTTATGAAAGACAAAAGGCCAAAAATTATACAGAAAATGAAAAACGAATCATCATTGCTTATTTATTATATAAGTGACTGAAAAAAGATAAGGCCACAAAAATGGACGAGAGAATATATATATATATATATATATATATATATATATATATATATATATATATATACATATATATATATATATACATTATATGCAGTGCAAACATTTTTCAAGAGAATTCATTAGCAATTGATAATAGACATTTATCTTAAAAATATGTGCAAAAGAAGAGCCTCACACAGTAGGAAATTAGAAAGTTCTATTTCTAAATGAACGTAGAAATATCCCAGATATGATATTTGAAAAACTTTTTTCCTGACTTTATTGATATTGTTACGCGCTCAAGTCGACGATACACTAGCGCCATCTAGTGTCAGGAACGAGAGCGAGGGGAGCATTGAGAAAATGACATCACAAATCACTCAACCGACAGCGCCTAGTCGAAACTCGAACGCTCGGTACCTTGCGCGTGTTTACTTGAACATTCTGGATATTTCTTTGCTAATTTAAATAAGTAGGCGCTGCAAGATGCGATCGGGGGGCAGAGTTGAACTCGGCGACACAAGCGAAGCTTCGGAGCGGAATTAAGTGAATTAGTGTGTTTAATTATTAGTGTTTTTAGTTTTAATTTGTGTAAAGTAAATTAAAGTGTTAATTTAGGTAATTTTATCGGCAATTTTTATTGTCACGAACCTCAAGCTCGTAACAATTGGTGTCAGAAGTGGGATAAAATAATGCCGATTTTACCTAAGGAGGAAACGGAGGGTGTCCGTACCCGAAGTCAACGCCAGCAGGAGACGGACCAACGAAGATTTAGTGGTGCAACGCCGCAGACGTCGGAGGGCCAGCCACCGGCTGCAGGCCCGTCGGTAGCTCCTACATCTGCAGCACCTGACTTAGGTGCTCTGATGGTGATGCTGCAGGAGCAGGCTCGCCGACAGGAGGAACAGGTCCGTCAGTTGAAAGAGCAGCTGCAGAGCGGACAAGAGGAACAGGTCCGCCGACAGGAGGAACAAGTCCGTCAGTTGAAAGAGCAGCTGCAGAGCGGACAGGAGGAACAGGTCCGTCAGTTGACAGAGCAGCTGCAGAGCGGACAAGAGGAACAGGCCCGCCGACAGGAGGAACAGATGCTCGTCATGAAGGACCTTCACGCTACCTTCGGGAAGGAGATAAAGGAGGTGAAGGATAGGGTTGCTCAGCATGACAAACGCCTGTCGGAAGCTGAAACCCAAATCGCGAAAGCTGAAAACCGAATCGAGAAAGCTGAAACCCGAATCGACCAAGTAAACAATCGGGTTGACAACGTAATGGCTGACATGAAGAAAGCACTGGACGAACTCAAACTTGGAGATGGAGCTACAGCTCCCGTAGTAGCTACAACACCTTCGCTACGTGGGTTCAAGGTGCCACCGTTCGACGGTACCTCTCCCTGGTCAGCCTAAAAAATCCAGTTCGAGGCTGTTATGAAGGCGAACGGCTGGAATAAAAGTCAGGCCATAACTGCTCTCACACTAGGCCTACGCGACCAGGCCTTAACAGTCCTGGAAGCTCTCGGTGAGGAAGTGACTTATGAGCAACTCCTTGTGGCATTGGAGGCGAGATATGGTGACGCTCACCTGGAACACGTCTTTCGTGCGCAGCTTAAAGATCGTGTGCAGCGCATCAACGAAAACCTGCAGCAGTGGGCTCTAGAAGTGGAGTAGCTGGTGCGAAAAGCATACCGGTCTGTACCTGCGCTCATTGAAGGAACCAGGTGCAGACATTCATCGACGGCATCCGCGACCTGGAAGTCAGAGCTGCTGTGAGGCTCGGGCACCATGAGACGCCTAAGGACGCCTTGGCCCATGAACTGGAAGTGGAAGCCGTGCGGCAGGAACATCGTTCCCATCGCGTCAGGGAGGTTGCAGCAGCTACAGTTCGCTACCACAACAAAGGATACAGCCCAAGGTGCTATGGCTGTGGGGAAAAGGGCCATCTTCGAATCAGCTGCCCTAAGCGAACCGTGGAAAGGAGAGTTGACCGATCTCGAGAGGGTAGTGCAGCTGACGACACGGCCTGGCGGCGACAGGATCATCGTTCACCTCACGCTAGGGAGGTTACAGCAGTTACAGTTCGCGACCACAATAAATGATACAGCCCTAGGTGCTATGGCTGTGGGGAAAGGGGCCATCTTCGGTCCAGCTGCCCTGAGCACACCCTACGAAGGGAAGGTGAACGGTCTCAGAAAGGAAGTGCGGCTAACAGCACCGCCCAGCAGCAGCAGGAATACGACTTTACTATCAGACAATGCAGCGGGAAATCTCACGGCAACGCAGATGCATTGTCAAGAAGACCTTGTCCTGAAGATTGCAACCATTGTAGTAGGCAAGAGAGTAAGGAGGTGGTATCCGTGAGGATGCTTAGGACAGACCACCTCAGCAACGGGTGGAAGGACAACCTACGACATGCACAGCAGGAAGATCCGGACATCAAGCCGATTCTGGGATGGATGAAGGCCCGTGCTACCAAGCCTAAGTGGAGGGACGTCTCAGCGATGAGTTCAACCACGAAAAGCTATTGGGCCCAATGGGACAGCTTGCTGATTCAGGATGGAGTCCTGTGCCGTAAATGGGACAATGGTCGAAGAGACAGCTGTCGTTTGCAAATGGTTGTCCCTAAAGCTAAAGTGCCGAATGTTCTACAGTTGTGCCATAATGGTCGTTCAAGAGTCCATCTGGGAGTTAAACGAACTCTACTGAAGGTCTGAGAACAGTTTTACTGGGTCCATTATCGTGACGATGTCGAGGATTGGTGTCGTACATGTACAAGTTGTGCGGCCGTGCAGGGACCTCGGACACGTAGTAGAGGAGCACCGAAATTGTACAATGTTGGTGCACCACGGGATAGGACAGCCCTTGACATTGCGGAGCCGTTACAGAAAGGCGCAAGAGGGACTCCTAAGATCGTCCATGTGAATCGCTTGGCGCGTTATTATGGGGCCGATAATGCTCGGGACGAGCATGTCTTAGGAGGGGGCAGTGTTACGCGCTCAAGTCGACGATACACTAGCGCCATCTATGTAGTGTCAGGAACGAGAGCGAGGGGAGCATTGAGAAAATGACATCACAAATCACTCAACCGACAGCGCCTAGTCGAAACTCGAACGCTCGGTACCTTGCGCATGTTTACTTGAACATTCTGGATATTTCTTTGCTAATTTAAATAAGTAGGCGCTGCAAGATGCGATCGGGGGGCAGAGTTGAACTCGGCGACACAAGCGAAGCTTCGGAGCGGAATTAAGTGAATTAGTGTGTTTAATTATTAGTGTTTTTAGTTTTAATTTGTGTAAAGTAAATTAAAGTGTTAATTTAGGTAATTTTATCGGCAATTTTTATTGTCACGAACCTCAAGCTCGTAACAATATACATTATGATTATTGATAAGCTATATCATTTTTTATTGACAATTTAAATTACATAATATAAAAAAAATTAATGCGCGCTTTTAAAAGCAGGGCACATTAGTCGCATTTTACTAGATGCGAGGCACGTAACACTGTTGACAAATAAAAATTAAATTAATATTTAGTCAAAAATACCTCATATATAATTAACTGATAGAAAATCTACGTTCTACACAAGTTACAAATATTAGTTTTTTTCCTTTAAATAATAGCAAATTTATAAAATTTAATATTTGAAGTATGTAGTACAAAATAAATGCTTAATGAAACAACTTACTGTTTTTTAAAGTTTTCTCGGAGGTAACTAGGAACACAGGTGATGTTTATTTTTCTTTTGCCACATTATATAAACTCCAACTTTTTGCTTGTCGAAGTATAAACGTTTGAATTTTTAATTAACAATAGTTTAATTTTCCTACCACTACCATTACGTTACATGTTTAATTTCATATTTATATTACTGTAGCATTTAATGAAAAGATGACGTAAGTCGTAACAAACGAGTTATAATGGTCAAGGTTCAAATAAAAATAATTCTTTAAAGTTCATACTTGTCTCATTTATTACTTTTCACGCCAATGTTAAAAGATGTGATTATTTTTTTTTATGACATAGATTTATGACAAAGGAGACCATCATTTTTGGCCAGCTAGAAATTTTAGCGGTCCGCAATAGTATCATATACAAAAAGAAGATACCAATTTATAATTAATTTAGTAAATGGCGCAAATATGAGTCTTTGAGAAATGACTACATATTTGTGCCATTTGCTGTAAAGACTATCGGTCCGTGGGGTCCACGTGCAGTGAAGTTCCTAAAGGAACTCTATCCACGGCTGGTCGTCG